CTGCATTGGGTTTTTGTTGAGGCAAGTGAGCTTAGTCACCCTGTGGTATGTGGGATCTTAGTTCCCCAACCAGGATTGAAACTGCATCCACTGCATTGGAAGGTGGATTCTTAACCACTGAACTACCAGGGAAGTCCCCCTTCCTGCGTTCTTCACGTCTTGTCTTAAGTATTTTGGTGCTTTATTGCTATGTATGTACACATGAAAGGCTTTTATGCCTTCTTGGGAAATGGACCTTGTTGTCATTAGGTAAAGTCCCTCTTTACCCCGAGGTTTTCCTTGTTTGAAATCTACATTGTCTAAAATTTGTATGCCAGTGCCAGGTTTCATTTGGTTAGTTTTGGCTTGGTACATTTTCATCCGTCCCTTTACTTCTTATCTACCTGTGCCTTCATATTTAAAATGTCTTTTGTAGATAATGTATAACTGTAATTTAAAGAATAAATAATATGGTACCATGAAGGGGGAGTATTAAAAAAAACTGATATCTTTTAAAATCACATAAAAAAATAAAATATTTAGTAATAAGCCTGACAAAGAGGTGAAAGGCATATGGTAAGAACTATAAAACATGATGATATTTTACTACAGCAGAAACTAAGAGGACATTGTAAAGCAATTATACCTCATAAAAAAGACATTTCATTTGTAAAGGAATTCTGTCATTTTCCTACATTCTCTGGGCTCTGCCATGATTGTAATATAAGTGATACTGTGACCACAGAAGTGATATGTAAATAATTTTCATTTCTTCATGATGCCATTATGTTACTGAAGAAGTGTGGATAGTAAGTTTCTCATGATCGAGTCATAGAATAACTCTTTGTAAACAACAGAATTATATGTACTTTTCGTATAGGTGGAGTGGGAGTGTCTAGTTCTGTTAATCTCATGCATCTTACTGTGCATATATTTTGGGTGTTTTAGGACTCATTGGTGTTTGAGGATGTGGCTGTGAACTTCACCCTGGAGGAGTGAAGTTTACTGGATTCTTCACAGAGGAAACTCTACAGAGATGTGACGTTAGAAAACTTCAGGAATTTGTAATCAGTAGGTAAAAATGAAGAAATTCTTTCCCTTTGTGTATTAGAGAACAAGTGTTTCTTACCAGTCTACAGATGTGGAATGTGGAAAGGGAGGATATTGGTAAAGAAAGTAGGGATGGGGAGGCTGGCAGAATGGAATTTCCTAGGGGTCCAGTGGTTATGATTCAGCACTTTCACTATTGTGACCTGGGTTCAATCCCTTGTTGGGGAAGTAAGATTTCAAGCTGCGCAAAGTGGTAAAAAAAAGAAAGAAAGAAAGAAAGAAAGAAAGAAAAATAAACTAGACTGTATCAGAGCTTATAGTGGACCTAAAATCCAATAATTATTCCATAATTTCTGGTACTTCCAGATCATGTTTCTGGATTTTTGTTTCAGAAGCAAGACAGGAAGATCATGACATTGGAGATCAGTTAAAAAACCAGGGGAGAAAATTAAGGTGATACATGCTTCTGAAGTGGCATTAGCGGTAAAGAATCATCCTGCCAGTTCAGGAGATGCAGGAGAAGTGGGTTCAGTTCCTGGGTTGGGAAGAGCCCCTGGAGAAGGAAATGGCAACCAATTCCAGTATTGTTGCCAGTGGGCAGGGGACCTTGGCAGGCTCCCCTGCCATATTAAATATATTAAATATATGTGTCCATGGGATCACAGAGTTGGACATACCTGAGCATACAAGCAGTACTCCCAATGCAAAGCATGTCTTGTGTGGGAATCATGGTCTGTAATGAAAATTCTAATAGAAGTAATCAAAACAGAATGCCCATCTTCAAATTTGGTTATTCTTAGAAAATGTCTCTGAAAAATATTTTCTTAAATTTGATATAAATGTTTATTTAGTGTTTACAATATAGTGCAGGTGCAGTCAGTATTCATGAACCCTATATTTCAATTCTAGGTGAGTGTGAAGTCATTCAGTCGTGTCCTACTCTTTGTGACCCCATGAACTGTAACCCACCAGGCTCCTCTGTCCTTGGAAATTTTCAGGCAAGAGTACTGGAGTGAGTTGCCATTTCCTTCTCCAGGGGATCTTCCCTGACCCAGGGATTGAACCTGGGTCTCCCGCATTGCAGGCAGATGCTTTACCATCTGAGCCACCATGGAAGCCCTTGGAAGATATATTTCAATATCACTTTTTAATAGAAAAGGGGAAGTCCTATTGCCAAACATTCAGTATATTCAACTTCTAACAATTCACAAAAGGTTAAAAACCTCACTATTCCTACAAATCATAATAAATATAATTAAGAAGCAAATCATTAATAATGTGCTTCTCATTATTTACAGAAGTCCTATGATAGAGAGACTCTCTGAAAGGAAAGATATTCATTCTTGGGGAGAAAATGTGAAGCTTATTCCAACTCTCACTGTGAAGAAGAAAACTGCTGGTTTTAAACCATGGGAATGCAGTGCATGTGGAAAATTCTTCTTGAGTCATTCATCCCTTAATAGACACATGTCATGTCACATTGAATACAAATCAAGAGAACATCAAATGTACCACAAGAAGGTATATAAATGTAAAAATTGTGGGCAGACATTTGTTTCTCCTAGTGCTCTCAGAACACATAAAAGGAGTCATATTGGAGAGAAGCTCTATGCATGTGAACAATGTGAAAAAGTCTTTCCATATGAAAAATCACTCCAGAGCCACAAAAATACTCACACAGGGGTGAAAGCCTATGAATGTCAAGAATGTGTGGATGCGTTGGCATGGAGATCAACTTTTCAAATAGATGTGGTAACACACACTGGAGATTTACCTTATAATGTAGGAAATGTGAGAAAGCATTCATTTATCCCCATTCTCTTACAATGCATCAAAGCAGTCACAATGGAAGGAAACCCTATCAATGTAAACAGTGTGGAAAAGCCTTTACAAGTCCTAAAAGAATCTGAATACATGAAGTAATTCACACCAGAGAGCAACCCTATGATTGTAAGCAGTGTGGTAAAGCCTTCAAACATTTTGGTTCCTTACAGGCACACATATGACTTCACAGAGGAGAGATACCACATGTATGTAAAACATGTTCTAAAGAATTGACTACTGCCCAGAATCTTCGAGATCATGAAAGAATCCACACTGGAGAAAAGCCCTATGAATGTAAGGGATGTGGGTAAGCCTTCATGTGGCAAGTCACTTTTCGAAAACACATGGTAACACACACTGGAGATTTACATTATAAATGTCAGAAATGTGAAAAAGCATTCCTTTATCCAAGTTTTCTTCAAGCACGTGAAAGAAGTCACACTGGAGAGAAACCCTATGAATATGAGCAGTGTGGAAAAGCCTTTCCATATAAAAAAATCATTGCAAACACACAGAAGAACTTACAGAATGGAGAAATTCTATGAATGTACAGAATGTGGGAAAATTTTCCTATGCAAAACAACTTTTCAAAAACACATGGCAACACAAACTGGAGATTTACTTTATAAATGTCAGAAATGTGAGAAAGCATTCATTTCTCCCAGTTGTTTTAGAATGCATGAAAACAGTCACAATGAAGAGAAAGCCTATCAATGTAAACAGTGTGGAAAAACATTTAAAACTCCTAAACCTGTTGGAATACATGAAAGAATTCAGAGGTGAGAAAATGCTATGAATGTAACCTGTGTGGTAAAGCCTTCAGTTATTTCAGTGCCTTCCAATCACACAAAGGATTTCACACAGGACAGACACCATATGTATGTAAAACACGTCCTAAAGTATTGAGTAGTGCCTGCTCACTTAAAAACCATGAAAGAGTCTACACTGGAGAAAAAAACCTTAAAGTGTAAGCAATGTGGGAAAGCCTTCACACTGAATATAACTCTTCAGAAACATATGATAATACACACTGGAGATGGACCTTATAAATGTAAAGAATGTGAGAAAGTATTCATGAATCCCAGTTCTCTTAAAATACATGAAAGTAGTCATACTGGAGAGAGACCCTATCAGTGTCAATGTGGTAAAACTTGTAGAACACAAAATGTTTTCAGAGTTCATGAAAGTACAGTAGAGGAAAAACCCTACAAATGTAAAATATTCACAAAAACCTTCACTTCCAGTTATGTTCAAGCACATAAATTAAGAATAAATTAACACACATAAATTAACTCACACTGGACAGAAACCCTGTCAATGACAGGAATGTGAGAAATCCTTCATTTGTCCCTCACCATTCAAAGACAAATTAGACTACACACTGGACAGAAATCATACAAAATGTGAAGAATGTGGGAAAGGCTTTTCTGATCTTAGCTGTGTATGAAAGTATTANCTCCAGGGGATCTTCCCAACCTAGGGATCAAAGCCAGGTCTCCTGCATTGCTGGCAGATTCTTTAATGTCTGAGCCACCATGTATGAATATGTGTGTTTCTAATATGCTCTGAGGCTTAGATTTTTATAGTGTTCTATTCATTTTCAGTGGGCCTTTGAAACATGACAGTTTGGTATTTGTACGGATTGACCTAGTGGCTTTGTGTAGCAGTTGCGAGACATAATACTGTTATATGTATTGTATCCTTTCTTTCTGGTGGGTATAAGAAAGTGGGTATAAGAGCCTTTTTCCATTCTGTTAATGACTTGGGATAGATTTTATGTATGGCTAGGATGTCAGAGAGTATACTGTGAATCAGTATTTTTTTTCTGTTTGCTTTTTGCAATTCCTTCTGCCTAGTATTTGTTAAATAGGCTATGAGAATTCCAAAAAAAACCAAAAACCAAAAAACAAAAAGCTAGAGGTTGAGATATTTTACTTGTGAGTAATACTGGGACCTAGACTTTCCAGAATCAATCCTCTTTGTGGTTCAATGTTAGTTTTCACCAAGAGCTCACTTGTGTTCCATTTAAAAGCATGTACAGGGCTTCCCTGGTGGCTCAGTGGTAAAGAATCTGCCTGCCAATGTAGGAGATGGGGAGATATGGGTTTGATCCCTGATCTGAGAAGATCCCACACACTGTGGAGCAAATAAGCCCCTGCACCACCTATTGAGCATGTGCTCTACAGCCTGTGCTCCACAAGAGATGTCAACACAATGAGAGGCCTGTGCACTGCAACTAGAGAGTAACCCCTATTCTCCCCAGCTAGAGAAAAGCCCTTGCAGCTATGAAGACCTAGCACAGCCCCCCAAAATCATCAGATGCAAAGAAGAAACTCTTCAGATATCGGAGCTCCCACACAGGGAAAGAGATGGATACATAAGGGCTTCAAGAATAATAATCTTCCAGCTTATTTTCCAGATTCTATGTCCTTGTAGTCATGAGTAGCCACGACACCAGCAACCAACCCATTACTTCATGACAAATAGATGGGGAAACAATAGAAACAGTGACAGACTTTCTTTTTTGGGCTCCAAAATCACTGCATGGTGACTGCAGCCATGAAATTAAAAGATGCTTGCTCCTTGGAAGAAAAACTGTGACCAACCTAGACAGCATATTAAAAAGCAGAGACTCTAGTTTGCCAACAAAGGTCCGTCTAGTCAAAGCTATGGTTTTTCCAATAGTCATGTATGGATGTGAGAGTTGGACCATAAAGAAAACTGAGCACCAAAAAATTGATGCTTTTGAACTGTGGTGTTGGAGAAGACTCTTGAGTCCCTTGGAAATCCAACCAGTCCATCCTAAAGGAAATCAGTACTGAATAGTCATTGGAAAAAGACTGATGCTGAAGCTGAAGCACCAATACTTTGACCATCTGATGCAAACAAGTGACTCATTGGAAAAGACCCTGGTGCTGGGTAAGATTGAAGGCAGGAAGAGAAGGGGATGACAGAGGATGAGCTGGTTGGATGGCATCACTGACTGGGTGGACATGAGTCTGAGCAAGCTCTGGGTATTGGTGATGGACAGGGAAGCCTGGTGTGCTGCAGTCCATGGGGTGACAGATTGGACAGGACCAAGTGACTGAACTGAGCTGATGGTTTTTGGCCCTTCCTTTTTGCCCCAGGCACACTGTTTTGATAGGGTAGTTTTACAGGTAGTTGTGGGGGATTGTAGATAGGAAGGGAAACCTAGGGAAATTTCGGAGACCACTGGAAGCTAGTGATTGCTCAGAAAGCTATAATGCTGTGAAAGGTAGCAGGCTTGCTGAACTATAAAGCCATAAATAAAAATATGAGATATGCCCCGGGTCACTAAGTAAAAGAAAAAAAAAATGAGGCCTGCATTCTGCTGGTCCAGTTCAGCAAGATAATGGTCCTTAGGACCAAGGACAGGAATCTAAGGGAAAGGACATTCGAAGTTGGAGACCCTCATTATGTGAAAAGCTGAGGTGACTCAACATATTTTAATATCTGTTACCACCCTTCTGCTGATTTGAATAAGGGGTCAGACACTCTCCTGCCTGTTAGGAAGGGGAGGTAGTGATGATGTAAGCCTCATCTCTACTTGGAGAGGAACAGGTGATTCTTTCCCCCTCCCTCACTTTCCTTTCCTTCTCTCTTTTTTTTTTTTAAATTAAAGACTGCATCCGGTCCTAATTGTGGCCCTCAGGATTGTAGTTGCTTATGCAGGATGTTTCCTTGTGATGTGTGGATTCTAGTTGTATTCTGCAGGCTTCAGTAGTTGGAGCTCCTGGGGTTAGTTGCTCTGTGGCAGGTGGGATCTTAGTTTATCAACCAGGGATGGAACCCACATCCTGTGCATTGCAAAGGTGGATTCTTAATCACTGGACCTCCAGGGTCCCCCTGAGCCTCAGTAAGTCCAGACACTAGGTGAGTGAGTTTAAAAGAAAGTAAAAGCAAAGAAAGAAGAATCTGATGATGACATGGACTTTGGTCTTTTTGACTAAACCTCTTTGGTAACACATTAAATAAAAACCTGAGCTGTTTAAAAAAAAAAAAAAGACTGTGGGTTCTTATATCTCAATCTTGTTGCCCTGATGGTCCGGGAACGAGCGACGAGAATGAAGACAGGACACGAAATCTGGTGCAGTGGGTCAGGGGACCTGCAGCTGAGTCCACTCTGAGTCCAGCTTTGATTCCTAATTGCAGACTACAAGACTTTCTATGACCATATCTTTCCCAAGACACTACACTGACATAGTCCAGATCTCCTTGTTTTTACCCCAGGCCGTTCACTTTTGGGCTAGTTTCGGGGACAATCAGCAAGTGCATAGGCAGCATTCATGCCTGATGCCGACCTGGCGTTCCAAGGTCCATGCTTTCATGATCCCAGTCATACTGCCTTCTGGGTCTGGCCTTGGGGTTTGTGACAAGATTATTCTTAAAAGAAAACATGAAAGATAATCATTAGCACAGTTTCTTAATATATGCTGTTTTTCCAGGTGCTATTTCTGTGGAATTTCTCAAGGCTGTGAAAGTACATTATTAGCCATTCCCGCTACACAATCTTGAGTTTAGGCTGGGTTTGAGCCCAGTATACAGGTTCGAGTCCCAGTGTGGGTTTAGGCAGGGTTCACGTCCCTATGTGGGTTTATGTTGGGTTCCAGTCCCTGCATGTGGGTTTAAGGCCCAATCCGAGATACACGGTTTCAGTTTTCCTCTGAGTTTTCCAAATGTTTGGGGTGCAGAATCTCAATTTGA